TGAGTTAAAGTGCACTCGGGTGGTCTACAAAGTCAATGTGGACGCTTCCTAGCTGGCCGGTGAATGTCGCAGGACAGCAGCCGTCGCATCCATTCCTCTCCCGGACGTCGACCCTCCTTTTTCCCGGAGCAGAAATGAGTCCGATGATGAATAAACTCCCTTGTATGTCAGTAGACAGTGTTGTGTGGATTATATCCGTCTTTGCAGCGGTAAAAAGTGCTCGCTAAGTCCATCCCGAGGCGTCTTACCGAGTCCGTGTTTGCTGTATCATTGCCGGTGAACAGCAGCGGCTAACGGGCTGTCAGTCTGTCAGAGGAGGGAGGGGGAATGCAAACACAGCCACTGCGCATGCTCGTCTCTACCCGTGTCTTCGGCCCTGTGTTGCGTTCAAACTCAAATTATTAATCGGAATTTACACAATCTAGGTATTCATCCATGACAGGGTGACCTTTTCATTTACAACAGTGGATCTGTTCGGATACCGATCGTTATTTCTCAACTAACCATTTTATTTCGATGATTGTAATATTACAAAAATGAGCCTCTTTTCAAAGTACTAAAATATCCGCAACCAGAATGTCCGTTTTTACAATATTTACTAAGACCTTTAAGGCATCATGGGATCTGTTTATTTTCTCTTCTTTGACCCCACAGTTTGGGAGGTGCTACTATATGTAAACTGTAAGACATAAAATAAACAGTGTGTCTTTGAATCTTTTCTGTTGTACTTTCTTTGATTAGTTTCAAGATAGGAGTTGATATATGACAACCTACACAGTAAAGTGCATTAAGTTTATATAGTATGTATAGAGTACAGGCTAACAAGCCAATGGTTGCTGACATGTCATGCAAAACAAGTCTTGACAATGAGATAGAGGTGAACTATCTCCTCATGGAGAATTAGCTCGCTTTGCCTGTTGGGTCAAATTGTGCCAGAGGGAAGAGGCATAACATATATCATAGTATCTGTTCTTCCTACATTTCTTACGTTGCAACACCGAGATTTTGATCTCCCTGTGACCTGCCAGCCTTCTGGCGATATATTCTCAGATTAAACACACAAGTATAATAGTAGGTATGACTGATGTGTTGCTTGAGTGAAGGGAAATCTGGAGTTATGACACACCTGTCAGAGCACTTCAAACATGTCAGCATCACAGCTATTCATAAACTTATCACATGTACCTGTAGGGGAGGGTGAGTGATGGGAAAGTTCCACTCTGAAGTCTGATTCCAAAGGTTACGTAAGTTTGAAACCACAGAAAGTAAACAGAGAAACATCAGTCATGCTTTCTGTAAACGTTGACCTGAACGTCAAATGTAAAAAGTAATAATGATGATACATAAAATACATTAACATCTTTTACAGTTAGCATGACACTGCAGCTTTGTATTCAGTGTGCAGTGCAGGGAAACAAAACCACCATCAACAACAGAGGAGGGAGATATCGTGTTGGTATGTCAGTTTCCAGATGTTCCTCAATTTTGATTACTTGTAATTGAACATGCACGAGACTGAAACTAATTTATACTTTAGATGGTAACAAATATGGATTCAAGACTTGGCCAAAAATATGTTTCAAACTAAAATAATAGAAAATAACATAAATTAAGATTAAAAGAAAGAAAAAAAAATCCTGACCGTTGTCATTTCCTGCCAGTCCCTGCCTGGTGCATCCTGGATGTTCACACATCTGTCAAGGTAGTATTTCAGGATTGCAGTACACACACTGTATTGATGAAGATTCACTCATGGCAAATGTCTGCAGCTAGACAGGGATGGCCCACACTGAAAGACAGATAAAACAGATGTCTTTAGGAGTGTGTGCAGTGAAGGAGGACTGCTGACTCTGCTTCCCATCACTTATACTGAAATCCCTCAGTGTTAACATTTAAAGTTCATGTGGCCACCTGACTATTGCATGACAGTAACACATTCACATTTAGCTATTCTGCAATGTCTAATTACAAATTTTCTTTCCTTCTAACATTGTTAAGTATAAAAACCTGTCTCTCACTCCAGGAAAACACATGCCCCGTGTGAGGCTCGAACTCACGACCTTCAGATTATGAGACTGACGCGCTGCCTACTGCGCCAACGAGGCCCAAAAAGCAGCATAAATCTATATGTAAGATCAATAGGATCTCTCCATATGGCATGTCGATTGAATCCAGTGCCTGAAAATAAAAATAAAATGCAGAATTTATTCTTAATGGTGATGTGATGTGAAATGGATTTCTGTATAAAAACCTATGCCCCGTGTGAGGCTCGAACTCACGACCTTCAGATTATGAGACTGACGCGCTGCCTACTGCGCCAACGAGGCTGCAAAGACCAAATCAAAAAATATTGTTGGGGCAGGGGGAGAGGTAAAAGTTTCTTTTCAAACATCTATGCAGGAACAACATGTTTCTGAGCCACTGGTGTGTCAGCAGGCAGTTGTTCTCTTAACCTAAAGGTCATGATTTCAAGCCTCACCCAGGGCGTACATTCTTTAGCATGCAGGCAGGCTTTGGCAGTTGAGTCAAAAGACAGCGTTTGGGTTAGAAGAGGAGGAAAACTGTTGCATTGGCCGGGAATCGAACCCGGGCCTCCCGCGTGGCAGGCGAGAATTCTACCACTGAACCACCAATGCTCACATCCAGCTGTTTCTTACCATTTCACTCAGGCGCCCCACCACAAGGGCTGGTGTCGTTGTGAGGAGCTGAGTGTGCAGGGACAAGACCGACATGAGACCATCAGGAAAAACAAGATGCTGACGTGCATCAAGAAAATATCAGTGGAGCGAGGGCGCCATCAAGAGGAAGATCCACCACACTGAAATTGATTTGAAAAAAGCCTGCTGAACCCTTTAACTCTGCCTGCTGAGTTCACCTTTATTTTTGGACCTGGTCACAAATTTGCAATGATGTGACAAATGTGCATTGGAAGCACAGCATCTTATTGTTTCACAATAATTCATAGGACAGGCCACAGGCCACAAGCCACAGGAAAGATTTGGGGGATGCACAGCACATGAAATGAATATTAAAAAGCATGTTGCATTGGCCGGGAATCGAACCCGGGCCTCCCGCGTGGCAGGCGAGAATTCTACCACTGAACCACCAATGCTCACGTGGGTGCTGCTTTCGAGCCTGCAGGAACAAGATCCACTTATTTTCTCCATTTTCCTCCTGGCAGACCAGGTTTTGTCATGTATCCTCGCACTGCATGACACCCGCTTGTTTTTCCTGTTTGTCTGATGAGGTTCTTGCCCCTGAACACCAGGCTGCTCACACTGACAAGTCATACTTGTAGAAAGTTTTGGAATGTGATTTTTTAAGGAGTGAACAGACTGTTCCAGTGGCCCTGGTGTGTCCAGTGGCAGAGACCATCCACATGTGTGCATTGGTGGTTCAGTGGTAGAATTCTCGCCTGCCACGCGGGAGGCCCGGGTTCGATTCCCGGCCAATGCAACTAGTCCTTTTCCCCCTGTTTTCGCTGGATTATCATATGTTTTAACAGCAGAAACATCATCTCCATAAAGTGTTGCTGATGACAGGTCATTATCTGCTCTAGACTTCTCCATCCCACTCTGCCTCAATCAACAGCAAATTGTTTTCATAACTCTTTTACCTGTCACAAACAAGAGATTAAGGGTTGCGCGGTGCTCTGTGTTGTAGTGCCACCACAACGAGATCTGGGACACCGGGTCAGAGGCTCTGATCTTGCAAGGTTGGTTTTCAGCCATGAGATGCTAGGAAGGCAGAGAGCCTCCATTCTTGATTCCATGCCATTTTTCCATCTGGGCAAAAGCAAAACCTTGTGCAGAAGTACGTCACGTGAAAAATAAAACTGAAATCGACTCCACACTATTACATGATATAATCTAACAGAACAATGAAAGAGTATGCCCTACCTCTGACATCACTTCTGTTGTACGTATGGGGCAAGTTCATCCTCTCCTGTCGACCCCATGTGCAACACCAGCTTCAGATGATGAGGTACTACATGAATGATTGATGACACAGTGGTTTTCAAAGCACATCTTTAAGGTTACCATTTCACTCAGGCAGCCCCATCAGATGGGCTAGTACACTTGTGAACAGTTGAGTGACTGGTAAAATTGATCCATCAATTTTCATCTCTGAAAAAGTACCAAATCATCAATGTGTAGTGTTATAGCAAAAGGAGCACAGCAAAGCAAAAAGGAAGGATGTTGCATTGGCCGGGAATCGAACCCGGGCCTCCCGCGTGGCAGGCGAGAATTCTACCACTGAACCACCAATGCTTACATGCACAAGAACTAGGCCACTGCAGCCAGGATGTCCACTAGAGGGCCCCAGATACAATTGTGCTACCTTCACTGTCTTCTTACAGTTTAAAGCCGAGGAGTATAAAGGGGAAACACCTCCTCGTTAGTATAGTGGTAAGTTTTCATGAATTTAATACACAACATATTTTTACAACTACAAAACTTTGTTACACACGTGAAGATCATTGTACAAGTGCAAAATCTTCTAATTTTCAAAAAAGCCGATACCCTTATACTCAACTCTGTGGTACGTGCAGTGCATACAGCAGTGTTGTTAGGTTTAATTATAGATTCTCAATATCATCTTTGTGCCAATGCATCGGTTTTCATGACATCCTTCAATCCAAATGCCTGCAGAATGCTGAATCAATTTCTTTGTAAAACACATGCCCCGTGTGAGGCTCGAACTCACGACCTTCAGATTATGAGACTGACGCGCTGCCTACTGCGCCAACGAGGCCACGCACATACAAAATATTGGTTGAAAAAAAAAAGTAAACTGTTGGTAAATCTAAATCTCTCAAAAAAATCACACAGATGTAACACATTTACTGGACCATTGCTGTGTCAGCAGGCAGTCTGTTGTTCTCAAAGCCAAAGGTTTTGAGCTCAAGCCTCACAAACACAATGTGTGCTGTTGCATGGAGGTAAGCTTTGGCAATCTGGTCAAAAGATAGCTTTTGGGTTAGAAAATGGGAAAAACTGTTGCATTGGCTGGGAACCAAACCCCCGGCCTGCTGCACGGCAGGCAAAAGTTCTACCACTGAACCATCGCATTCAGCTATTGACGACTGTTTCACTCAGGTGGCCCACCAGAAGGGCTGGTACAACACCTCAGTGTGCAGGAACAAGAATGACATGAGACCAACAGGAAAAACATGGTCGAGGCATATAGCCATACAATTCTGTCTGCTCCAATCTGCCAATTAAACTGGATGGCTGATAAATCGGTCAGGCCATGGTGATGTCATCATCACATGTGCTTATGCACTGGGAAGAGAATGAACTGTCAGTCACTTTGTAGACTGGTAAAATAGATCCATCACATTTCATCCCTGAAAAAGTACCCAATCATCCATATGAAGTGTTCCAGCAAGACAAAGGGGCACAAATTAGCAAGTGCACCAAGGTCGATATAAAACTTGAAGTTGTGAGTGACAATTAAAACTCTAATTGACACAGAGAATAGCAGCTCAACAAGCCATACAGATGGGATATGTTCTACTAGGGAATCACAACAATACGAAAGAAAAGGCTGTTGCATTGGCCGGGAATCGAACCCGGGCCTCCCGCGTGGCAGGCGAGAATTCTACCACTGAACCACCAATGCTCACATGCACAAAATTTAGGCCACTGCAGCCAGGATGTCCACTAGAGGGCCCCAGATACAATTGTGCTACCTTCACTGTCTTCTAACAGTTTAAAGCTGAGGAGTATAAAGGGGAAACACCTCCTCGTTAGTATAGTGGTAAGTTTTCATGAATTTAATACACAACATAATTTTATAACTACAAAACTTTGTTACACACGTGAAGATCATTGTATAAGTGCAAAATCTTCTAATTTTCAAAAAAGCCGATACCCTTATACTCAACTCTGTGGTACGTGCAGCGCATACAGCAGTGTTGTTAGGTTTAATTATAGATTCTCAATATCATCTTTGTGCCAATGCATCGGTTTTCATGACATCCTTCAATTCAAATGCCTGGAGAATGCTGAATCAATTTCTTTGTAAAACACATGCCCCGTGTGAGGCTCGAACTCACGACCTTCAGATTATGAGACTGACGCGCTGCCTACTGCGCCAACGAGGCCACGCACATAGAAAATATTGGTGTAAAAAAAAAAAAGTAAACTGTTGGTGAATCTAAATCTCTCAAAAAAATCACACAGATGAAACACATTTACTGGACCATTGCTGTGTCAGCAGGCAGTCTGTTGTTCTTGAAGCCAAAGGTTTTGAGCTCAAGCCTCACAAACGCAATGCGTGCTGTTGCATGGAGGTAAACTTTGGCAATCTTGGTAATATAAAAGAAAAGGCTGTTGCATTGGCCGGGAATCGAACCCGGGCCTCCCGCGTGGCAGGCGAGAATTCTACCACTGAACCACCAATGCTCACATGCACAAAAACTAGGCCGCTGCAGCCAGGATGTCCACTAGAGGGCCCCAGATACAATTGTGCTACCTTCACTGTCTTCTAACAGTTTAAAGCCGAGGAGTATAAAGGGGAAACACCTCCTCGTTAGTATAGTGGTAAGTTTTCATGAATTTAATACACAACATATTTTTACAACTACAAAACTTTGTTACACACGTGAAGGTCATTGTATAAGTGCAAAATCTTTTGACCCTTATTTGATCCAATAAGCAGTGATGTTGTTTGGGTCAGAATCACATCATCATCAATTTCTTTGTAAAACACATGCCCCGTGTGAGGCTCGAACTCACGACCTTCAGATTATGAGACTGACGCGCTGCCTACTGCGCCAACGAGGCCTTGCACAAAAAAAAATATTGGTTAAAAAAAAAGTAAATCTAAATCCCTCAAAAAATCACACAGATGTAACACATTTACTGGACCATTGCTGTGTCAGCAGGCAGTCTGTTGTTCTCAAAGCCAAAGGTTTTGAGCTCAAGCCTCACAAACACAATGTGTGCTGTTGCATGGAGGTAAGCTTTGGCAATCTGGTCAAAAGATAGCTTTTGGGTTAGAAAATGGGAAAAACTGTTGCATTGGCTGGGAACCAAACCCCCGGCCTGCTGCACGGCAGGCAAAAGTTCTACCACTGAACCATCGTGTTTAGCTGTTGATGACTGTTTCACTCAGGTGGCCCACCAGAAGGGCTGGTACAACACCTCAGTGTGCAGGGACAAGAACAACATGAGACCAACAGCAAAACATGGACCATGAAAATACCAGTGGAGCGAGGGCGCCATCTAGAGGAACATTCACCACACTGAAATTGATTTGCAAAAGTTCTACTGACCCCTTTAACTCCTGCCTGCTGAGTTCACCTTTATTTTTGGACCTGACAAAAAATTAGCGATGATGTGACAAATATGCATTGGAAGCACAGCATCTTATTGTTTAACAATAATTCATAGTGGCAAAGTTTGATGGTACAAAAGTAGAGTTCACTGTGATTCTTATTGGTCAAGGCATATAGCCATACAATTCTGTCTGAGTAAGGCTAAAATCTGCCAATTAAACTGGATGGCTGATAAATCGGTCAGGCTGTGGTGACGTCATCATCACATGTGCTTATGCACTGGGAAGAGAGTGAACTGTCAGTCACTTTGCAGACTGGTAAAATAGATCCATCACATTTCATCCCTGAAAAAGTACCCAATCATCCATATGAAGTGTTACAGCAAGAGAAAGGGGCACAAATTAGCAAGTGCACCAAGGTCGATATAAAACTTGAAGTTGTGAGTGACAATTAAAACTCTAATTGACACAGAGAATAGCAGCTCAACAAGCCATACAGATGGGATATGTTCTACTAGGGAATCACAACAATATGAAAGAAAAGGCTATTGCATTGGCCGGGAATCGAACCCGGGCCTCCCGCGTGGCAGGCGAGAATTCTACCACTGAACCACCAATGCTCACATGCACAAGAACTAGGCCACTGCAGCCAGGATGTCCACTAGAGGGCCCCAGATACAATTGTGCTACCTTCACTGTCTTCTAACAGTTTAAAGCTGAGGAGTATAAAGGGGAAACACCTCCTCGTTAGTATAGTGGTAAGTTTTCATGAATTTAATACACAACATAATTTTATAACTACAAAACTTTGTTACACACGTGAAGGTCATTGTATAAGTGCAAAATCGTTTGACCCTTATTTGATCCAATAAGCAGTGATGTTGTTTGGATCAGAATTACATCATAAATCTGCTTTGAAAGCATGAATGCTTATAATTAAAAGGCTGCTGCATTGACCAGGAGCCAAACCCCGGCCTCCCACATGGCAGGCAAGAATTCTACCACTGAAACACCAATGCTCACAGGTTGTTTTCTTTTTTGACCTCTATTCAAACAAGGTCGTTGGCGGTGTTGGCTTTCAAAAAAGCCAACACGCCAGCTAAATGGGGGTTGCTGGTTGACCATTTTCAAAAAAGCCGATACCCTTATACTCAACTCTGTGGTACGTGCAGCGCATACAGCAGTGTTGTTAGGTTTAATTATAGATTCTCAATATCACTTTGTGCCAATGCATCGGTTTTCATGACATCCTTCAATCCAAATGCCTGGAGAATGCTAAATCAATTTCTTTGTAAAACACATGCCCCGTGTGAGGCTCGAACTCACGACCTTCAGATTATGAGACTGACGCGCTGCCTACTGCGCCAACGAGGCCACGCACATAGAAAATATTGGTGAAAAAAAAAAGTAAACTGTTGGTAAATTTAAATCTCTCAAAAAATCACACAGATGAAACACATTTACTGGACGATTGTTGTGTCAGCAGGCAGTCTGTTGTTCTTGAAGCCAAAGGTTTTGAATGCCAATTAAAACTCTAATTGACACATAGAATAGCAGCTCAACAAGCCATACAGGTGGGATATGTTCTACTAGGGAATCACAGCAATATAAAAGAAAAGGATGTTGCATTGGCCGGGAATCGAACCCGGGCCTCCCGCGTGGCAGGCGAGAATTCTACCACTGAACCACCAATGCTCACATGAGCTGTTTTTTACCGTTTCACTCAGGCAGCCCATCACATGGGCTAGTGTACTAGTGAACAGCTGAGTGTGCAGGGATGAGACCAACACGAGACCAACAGGTAAAACAAGATGTTGATGTGCATCAAGAAAATACCAGTGGAGCGAGGGCGCCATCTAGAGGAACATCCACCACACTGAAATTGATTTGAAAAAGGCCTACTTTCCCTCTGCCCACTGAGTTCACCTTTATTTTTGGACCTGACGACAAATTTGCAATGATGTGACAAATATTGTTTGACAATAATTCGGCCAAGGCATATATAGCCATACAATTCTGTCTGAGTAAGGCTCAAATCTGCCAATTAAACTGGATGGCTGATTAATCGGTCAGGCCCTGGTGACGTCATCATAACTATGCTTACATACTGAGGAGAGAATGAGCTGCCAGTCACTTTGCAGACTGGTAAAATTGATCCATCACTTTTCATCTCTGAAATAGTACCCAATCATCAATGTGTAGTGTTACAGCAGGAAAAAGAGAAGCTGTTGCATTGGCCGGGAATCGAACCCGGGCCTCCCGCGTGGCAGGCGAGAATTCTACCACTGAACCACCAATGCACACATATGCAGCCACTAGGCCACTGCAGCCAGAATGTCCACTAGAGGGCCCCTGATACAATAGTACTACCTTCACTGTCTTCTAACAGTTAAAAGGGGAGGAGTTTAGAGAGCATAACATCTCCTCGTTAGTATAGTGGTAAGTATCCCCGCCTGTCACGCGGGAGACCGGGGTTCGATTCCCCGACGGGGAGTGCAAAATCTTTTTTTTTCTTTTTCCTTTTTATTTTTAAAAACAAGGACAGCTTTTAGTGTGTAGCTCCAACATGACATTTTGCTTCCAAAAGCCTCTGCATTTGTGTGGTTGTATGTGAACACAACCACACATATTGGGAATGTGATTGTATCCTTACACTGAAATAGGCAAAAAGAAGGTGCTTCAGTTTTGGACATGCTTCAATGTGCAATGTAATATTACGAAATATGAAAAGGATGATGCATTGGCCGGGAATCGAACCCGGGCCTCCCGCGTGGCAGGCGAGAATTC